ATTGAGCAACTGAAATAAAAATTAATTAAACATTGTACTAAAGTGAGATTATTGGGCTTTATAAATTCTTTCCTTTGTGATAGAGGCTAGTATTAAAAAAAAAAATTAAAGAAAAAAAACCTAACTCCACAGTGCCACTGTATTAAAGTACTTATCAAAAGCTTTATAGGGAGGAAAGAAACGATAATGTTATATGAAACTCATGGGTATAGTTTATTCATTTCATGGAAAAGGAATTAAAAAAAGCAGCAGCTGGGTCATATGCAAGAGGCTTTGTGCTCTCTGTGATGCCATTCAGAGGTTCTTCAAATGGAATGTTTCAGGGTAAAATGGATAGATCTTGTACACTGGAGTTATTCATCCGTATTTCTGTCTTGTTTGTACTCTCAGAGACATCATCCATGCATAGTCTACGAGGTAAAAGCAACAACTGTGGCCAACTAGCCTCCAGCAGAGCACAGGCCACAGGATTTCCCTGAATTAATTCATCATATGATGCCTGTTTAGGGATCTCATGGACAAAACACACATCCGACTCCAGGTCCTAGTGCATAACTGGAAAAAGCATCCATGCACCACTGATGCACCATCTGTGCATTCCTGTATGTAGGTATCCACTGTGCTCAGAAAGCCTGACAACTCAGCTGCCATGCCAGCTTTACTCAGCTGTGCTCAGAAAAACTGGAAACTCCTTAGGTCTTGAGTCATCTCTGTGGCTCCAGTCACAGTCCCAGTTCAGTCTACACACAGTATATACATCTGAACACCCTCAGATCTTCATATTTCTCTTATATATTACCTAGAAGAAAGCAGGGCACATAAAGGCTAGCTCAAGTGTTCTTACTGTGCTGAGCTGGACAGATTACAAAGCTCTTATTTCCACCAAGAATGCAAACTTGATGCTTGAATGATCTTAAGACTGTCTCAAGCAGTTTTGAAATGCTCTGGAACTCAGTTTTCCTGAATTTATTTTCCTGAACTTTGAGAAGCACAAACGGAAATTCATTATTTGATAAATACCAATAACTCTAAGCCATAGAAGGGGAAAAAAAATGGTGCAAGGTGATTTTTCTATGTGTAAAGATATAAATCAAAGCTCAGGTGGGATCTGGGTACATATTTCCATAGAATGGCATGGCAGAAGCTAACTTTTTTCACCATCAGAGGTGTAATAGAATAGAAAAGTTCTAAAACTGCAGTCTGACTCTGAGGGAGATTCTAAATTTATCACAACAAATGGCAGAAAGATTTATTTACTCCAAACAAACCTACTGGATAAGATCCATGCAGTGTACTGAAAGTTCATCCTACTGCCACATATCAAACCTAAGAGTTGCCAACAAGACAGAGCAATTAGACAAACTCAATAAAAGTATACTCAAACACCCCATGTACTCAACTGCCATAAGACTTACGTTCTTTTTATCAGTAGAATTTTAAAGTCAGAACTCAGCTTATAAAGGAAACAGGATGTGAGATCCTGCAACCCAACAGCATTCAGATGTCTGAATTTGTACCGATCTGCAGTGATGTCTGGCACAAACTGCAAGACGTAAGTTGGGCTGGAGCTAGATACAAGATAAGGATGATGAAGTACTGAGCTGATGCATGTTAATCGCACTGTAATGAAAGCAAAATGGGTCATAAAATAAAACAGGAAAACTGGTAATTGACCATTGTATGTAAGTGACACTAAGAAGGCAGACTTCTGAAATTTCGTCTGAACAATTGCATAGTACTTCTTCATCACCGAGAAAGAAGCTTGATTCCTTATCCTTCTCCAAAGCTGTGAATACAAGTTCACTCAGCAGATACAACACAGAGATAAACAAAAGAAGTAATGGTACTCCACATCTGGTACTGAGCCCACTGTGCACAAAAGGGCCATGTCTTCCTTTCACATCAATGTCAAAGCTCTTGCTGAATTCTGTGGGAGGAAAACTAAGCCTAGAATGAAGCCAAAGCTCTGTAGCCCATTTAGTCTTATCGTCTGCCCTACACCTGCTATGGCACAAGCAGCAGCCAATAGCTGCCTGATAATTAGTTTGCCACAGCTTCTTTGATAAATTGCAAAGATAACAGTCCCCTTTCTCAGATCCATAGCAGTCAACAGTTTAGAGGGAAAAACTGGGTTCTGCACTGCTTCCTAATTACCTTGAGAGTATGCCAACTCATTTCCCTGCACCATATATGATCATGTTGGCTTTTCAAGCTCCACTGAAATACTCATGACATTGAAATATTGATGAAAGCCAAATGCCAAAAATTGGTTTGCATTATTTCCTTGGGGGAGGGGGGGGTGGGGGGGTGGAGAGAAGGAGGAAGGGGAGAACAATAAAAAAAAACCAAGCAACCAAAAACAACAAAACACCAAAACAACAACAACAAAACAATACCAACCACAAAACAGGGTCCTTAACACACAACAGAGATGCAACTAAATTTACATCTATACTGTTCAATAAAACAAAATGGCAAGTGCTCAGTCCAGCAAAAGCTGTCATGTCTAAAAAACAGGAAGCAGCCCCATGATTTAAGTACTCAATCAGTGCACTTTGCCTCAAACATACATTGCCTTCAGAACTGACTTAGCACTTTTGGATAGCAGTGAATTAGCTCAAAATGAGCATGTTTCTGCCATGTTACACTGAAAAATTTAGATACAAATGTGGCTAAGCCAGTCCTCTCCTTCCCTCTTCTTCCCATTTTTTTTATCGTATCTCAATATTCTGCCCACCCAAGCCTGTTTCTAGTTTGGGTCTCCTTGTACAAGTCAACCTGTTTCATTGAACACCAATTCCCATCTCATGCCTTGATATATCCCAGTCTTCATGCCTTTGTCTGTGTTTTGAATTTGGCAGCTCCCTGCCCTGGCTGCCAAGAGCCAGCAGAAGGCACAGAGGCAGCAATTTTCACATGAGAGTTGGGTTTGTCGCTCTTCCTCTCTGAGCCTGACAATTTAATCTCAGCTGGACACCACTTTCACAGGCAAAGCTCTGCTGAGATATCTTCTTTATCCAAGTGGGACATTCTCACCTTCAGGGATTTAGCTGATTTAGATTTAATAATCTCAAACCAAATTCAGGCAAATGTTCTCCTCAGTTCCAAGCTACAAAGTCCTTTACCAAAATTTTGCTAGAACTGCCAACAAAATGGGTATTAGATTTTTTTTCTTTTAAGTTTATTTAAGTTTACCTATGAGCATCATGATTAAATCTGTTCTTAATCCCATTCTGGAAATGACACAAGTAGTGCCTGTGTATATTTCCCAAAAATTTACCCTGAAGAGAACCACTCATTTACGATAAACTCATCAAGGAGAAAATGGGTACATCAGAAATGAATAATTCAGGTAAACACAATTTAACTTAGATTTAAAGAAATCACACATCGCTGAAGGTACTTATATTTTTCCTGATGTAGGTGGTACGCTGTTTACCAAGAAGATTCTTAACCAATTTCTTTTTTTTTTTATTCCATTTGTTTGCTTTTCGACTTAAGTACAACTTGGATATATTCACTTAGACACCTGCACTAGTCTGTGGTATTTATAACCTTACTTTTTTAAAAATGTAACAGAGAATGTACATTGCTAACTACTGAAATCTATAATGTCACAGCCTCTGCAAAACTACTTCACCCTCATTATTCCAAAATGGGCTCTTCAGGCAGCATTCCTCTGCTTAATTTAATCAGAATTTAGCTTGGTTCTGAAAATGTAGAATTCTATTGTTACATGTGTTCTTTCTGAGTCGTACAGATCAAATGGAGGTAATCTTAGTTCATAGACTGTCATACTAAGTGAAATCTGAATAATCTGGCAAGATCTAAAAATGAACTCACACTTCATTGAAAAGCCTTAGAATATATCGTGTTATATAACTCTTGTATTTGAAAGTCTGTTACAGTGATAAGTTACATGTCCAACCTCTAACCTCAGGTGGCATTTTAAAGGGCTGTGAAACTGCATTTTGCATTGATGCTTTGCTTTTCCATCTCAATCCCACACGGTCCTCTTTTTACTAAAACTAATAGCATTCACAGTTCAATTTCACCTTTTATCATCTCTGACCTCCTTTGCAAGAAAACACTTTTTTATCTTTATGTTAAGATAAGACCAATAACTTCAGTTGCTGCCATGTAACTTGAATGTGGATTGAACTGGAATCACTGCTGGAGAAAAAAAAAAAATCCTAAGGGGTAAGAACCAAGATTCAGATGGGGAAAAAAAAAGCAGACGAATCTTCATATAATTAAAAAGGCACAGATGTCTTTCTTCCTTGTGTAGGTAAGGAAGGATAAGAGTTTATCAAGAACTTTGCAGTAAAGTATTGAGAAGCCTGACTTTTAAAACAAAACATTTAGAATTTTGTATTTTGAAAAGACCCTAATCAACTGCCTTTTCTCCTCTTCTACATATTACCTGATGTCAAGAAACTTCTTTCTTAATCAGCTTGCACTGGGACATAAAGATGTCTCAGCACATCCATCTTTAAACACAGAAGAGAGTTTTGTGAAATAGCTGAAGTGCCTAGCTGTAGGATAACTACTTAGTATATCACAGAGATATGCAAAAGGACATGCAGCAAATTAAAAAGGAACATTCCCAAGTCAAACTATCGCTCTAGATATGTTCTTTGACTGCTAGAAAAGTCTTACCATCTAAAATGTCTCTACAGCAGCCACAGTTCAGTGCCTTTTGTCCAGTCTACCTTGAAATGAAACCCAGAAGATTTGTCTCCTGTCAGTAATAGCCTTCTATGTATTTGAAGGTCATTAACAAGCTTTGTCTTCCCTTTGTAGAACAATCATATTTGTGTAATATGCAATAACATATTCTGTTTTAATGAGAGTAATTGGCTTGCAGAGTAAGACGACTAGCTCTTCTCATTCTCCTCACAATTTTCGTTTAATATATAGGCTCAATATGACATTCAGTAGATTCATCCTCTTTGTCCTTGATTTTAGGTCCTGTCCATGTCATCAGTGATCATGCTTAACTGAGGACTTTTTGCACACGAAGCACAACAAGACCAGTTAGAGCTTGCTTTGTTAAGCCAGCAAAGCAACACAGAAGGACTGGCAAGAAGGAAAAAAACAAATGAACCTAAACTCCAAGAGGTGTATGTAGGTCTTTTCTACAAAGGGAAAAAACCTGCATTCTCTATTACTGTGATTTCTTCTTTTGTATTATTACACAGGTATCTCAGTCTCTCTCAAATATATATATGTATACAAACACCACAGACCCTCCTTTTCTTGCAAGTGAAGTCACTGATTACTGCTGCCACAGGTTCCCAGTATAGGAGGAAGCTGCATCCTCCCCCACCCCAAGATAAGCTTGACACCACAGCTATTCTATTATTTCATTAAGTTTTGAATTACAATTCATCAGCTAAGACATACCAGCAATTTCAAAAAACCACATAACAGGATATCATTTTTACCCCCTGAAATACATCACTGTTTTAATCTAGAGTTGTAATTGACTCTACTTTTAAAGGAGGTGCTAAAACATTCAGAGAGTTGCTGCACTATCAAGCAGACCTGCCAGTATGTAAAGGAGATAGCACAGCCAATGGGTGAGAAAATGATTACAAACACAGCAGAATGATGCTTTGCCACATCAATCTGTAATTTTATTTTATGTTATCTATTAATCTCTGAACTGTATGTTTTGAAACATACCCAAGCAAATTCTACCCCTGGCTATTACTGTTGAAACTTTCTTTAAGGTCACAGCCAACACAGCAGTATGCAATACATTTCTTTTACTGTAACTATGATGGGCAAAATTTGATACCAAAAAAGATAGCAACGTAAGTGGGTGTGTTATTGTCCTGGGTTTAAACCACAACAGTTATCAGGGCTAATATTGTTTCCTGGTGTGTAAGATAAGGAAGCACAGTTTCTATCCTTTTTCAGCAACTGAACATCATGTTTGGTGACAGCAAACATAAAAATCCTTTAAAGATATAAACTACTTTCAGGGCTTAAACTTGTAGTGAAGGTCAAAAGCAACAGTGACTCAGTCAGCCTCTATCCACTGCCATCTGAATTCAAAGGTTCTTTTACCACTCACTCAAAAACAGTGAGTTTTTGTAACAACTGGCAAAGGTGATTGGGGTGGGACAGGAGTGAGAAATAGAGAAATGAACTGAATGTTCTCTAATCCTACCTAATCCATAATTATGTCAGCTTCTGAAATAGGATGTCTCTACTTGCATCAGTACTTGCTAGACTAGGAACCTGCCCTTTGCATTACAGCCATGGAGCGTAGCTTGCTAACCTTTATGTTCATCTTTTTCATGGATCATTTGAAAAGTACTCAAAAAATTAGCAATCATTTCAGCAGCTTGGAAAGAACTCAGCCCTTCTTAATCATTTCTATTCTGTGAAGCAAAGATTAATGCCTTCAATGGCAAAAACAACATGCCACAGGAAGATCTAATTGAAATAATATTTCCTACTGAATGCCACCAATATCCAGAATCTCATTTACATATACTAAATCAATTTCATGGGGAAACAATAGGACCATAATGGTCATGCAGGCTTCAGCAACTCACTGTGGGAGTTTAAAAAAAGCTGAGAATGTATGTATAGCTGAAAGAAAGGTATTTATGTTTATACTTACACGCTTTTATGGCCATCAACTCACCAAAATATTTGAGACTTCCACCAACAGGCTCCGTTTTGCTTTCCTTCCAACAAATGGATACTTCGAGTTTTATCTACAGGGAACTGAATCACAGTACAGTAACTGGTTTAACTATTTATTACTTAATAAAGTAACAGGTTTAATTTCTCTGTTTTGAAATCTCTTCAATTTCTCTACAGTGCCAATCTCCATCTAATGCACCACAGCCTGGCAAATTAGTTCTAATGAATTAGAGAAGCAGAGGATTATGCCACCAAAGTGGTAAACATCCCAGGCATTATTTTTGGTTGATATTACACCAGCATTTACAAATCTCCATTCAACTACGCCCTCTTGCAAACACCAGCCATTATGCTGGCTTTTCTTTAACCATATGGAGCCCAAACTCTGCACATGACTTCAGGTTATCTGCTTTTGTGGGTCTTATTACAAGATAATGACACAAACTGATCAGAGGTGTTGAAGATCTCATGTATGTCTAAAGTCCGACAAAGTTAGAGAAAATAAGCACCTATGCAATAATAAGTGCATGAGTTCAACTTACCCTATACATGTATTTATCAGATGCTAAGGAAGTTTCATAGGAGAGCATGCCCTTACATTTTACAATCATGAAAAAGTCATCAGTTGGACTTTATACCCCCCTTGAGACATCAAAGTCATCAAATACAAGCCACAGATTTCTAGCAAATGAGACTTAATTAACACTGGTGCTCCTGAATTTCCTTATTCCTGAACATTCCCCTGCTGCTATGGAAAATTAGTTAAGGCTTAAATCATGTGGTTCTTTCTTTAGTACTTGTTGCATGGCAACATTCATTTTTATGTATGAGTTTCTTCCTCCAAATGACTTTATAATAGTCTTATCCAAAAGATGAGCTGTTAAAGTCTTAAGACAGATATTTGCACATCTTGGCTTAGTTTTGTTAAGGTTTTCACTCAAAGCATATGAATTATTCACTGATAAGAGAGACTGGAAAGCTCTGGTTCTAGGCATCAGTTAGATCAGTCAGTCATGGCAGAGGATTTAACTGGCTTCTTTTTAACAGTCATTTCCACAAATGTTTTTAAAGAATATCCACTGAAGCAAGCCTTGCTGATTACAAATAGTGACCTCAGAAGGCTGTTGTGTTACTTGCACACTCACAATAAAGTACTCCAAACCAGGTTAACTCTGCCACAAAGAAGCACTGAGGCACTGAGCAGTCTACTCACCACAATTTCCTTGGTTGCTCCAGAACTTGCTCTGGATCACCTAGAAGAGGAACAACAAACCCTGGCTTTGGCTTTAGCCACTTCTCACACCTTCCACCAGTGGAGAGCAGGAGAGACTTTTTACCTTCACCCTGGACAAAGAGAAACAGCTCGTAACCAGTGTCCCTTTTTTATCTGCCTCTCAAATTTATTTGTTTAAATTCTGAGCAAGAGGCAGATTCTAGCAAAAAAAAAATGCATAGGTGAACTATAAGTGACTTTTCCTTCCACTGAATTATAGATCAAATTCATCATGTGATGAAATATTCATGCAATAGCACAGTAAGATTAAAACATCAATGGCATAACTTAAATTGCTACTCTTTGTAACTAACACTAATTAATATTATTTCTGATTTCAGTCAATTTTTCTCAATGGAAAGAAACATAAATCTTAGGAAAAAAGCAAAATGTCTCCAGAAAACACTTGTCTCCCTTTTTAAATACCCATCATCTGAAAATTACCTCATTAATATTATAAACAGCTGAAGAACAGTTTTGATTGTGTGTTCAACATGTGATTTCTAATACTCAGCTCATTTTCTGACTGCAGGGTCAGTGGGACTCCAGGCATCAAACTGAGACAAAATTTACCTGAGAATTTATGTATGAATATACTAACATGTTGCAGGTGACTTCTGATGAAATTCAGCTCTGCTCTGTGCCCATCAGAATTTTGTTTGCTTCAAAATATGAAGACCTGGGATGATGAAAATGGCAATTAATTTTTTTTTTTCATGTGACAAGCAGTCAACTCACACCAAACTACAAATATGCTATTAGTATAACTCTTACCATTTCTCCCCGTCAGTGCCTATTTTGGAGGTTTAAAGCCTGGGCTGCAGTAAAACCTAAAAGAAACAGTTGGCACATTGTTTTATTTCTGAGGAACCACAAAAGTTCATTTTCCATGAAGGTTAAGATTTCTGATTGTGGATTACTTATAGCTAACCAAAAAAGAAAAGTAACAGAAAAACTCATAGACTAAAACTTATATGTAGATAAACGTGAGCTGAAGTATAAATTTTTGATAGCAAGGGTAACTAATAATGAATGATGGCTGCTGTAAACCATCTCTCACTTTGAAATCTTTAAAGTATGACTCAATATCTTTCTAAGGCTCCAGTTCATATGTGAGATAGAGAACTGATGTAGGAAGCACTCAATAAAGCTTGGTGGGCTTCATTTACTATGCAATTAACTATCAAGCCAGCAGATCTGTAAAAAACTCAGCTTTTTGATCTACTGATCCTGTCTTCTCACTTACCCTGCCACAGATCAGAAACTATCGTCAAAGCAAAGCAGACTTTGGCTTTAATCACAATAGTAGTATGAAACCAAACTTCAGGTCTCATCATGCTTAGATTTATGCGATGATGCTTATGCAAGGTAAAAAATTATCAGACTTCAGTCTCCTGATTTTGGGAGAAGTAATAAATTTAAAGGAAGAACAGATTAATGGAGAGTTCAGCTGTTTTCTGTTCATTTTGCGTTGTATACACATAAATAGTAGTTTGGTGCCTCTCTCTCCTCCCCTCCCCCCACCCCCACCTTTTTTAACAACAACGAAAAAAAAAATTAAATTCTTAAAAAAAAATAATAATAGTTCATAAGAATTAAACGGAAATAAAATGGAAAGAATTATTGAAAATACAGACTGAGAGGATATCATGAAGTTCAGATTAAAAAAACCCAACTTTCCAAGCAGAGCATATACATGCTTGGAGTTTTCACTATAGCTCTGCAACAGAAATGTTAAGGAATAACATTAAGGTGAGAGAACTGTTTCCTTAAAGTTTTAGTTCATTTGTCACAGCTTCATTTCAAATTCCAACAGCTCATGACAACAGCTGAGATGACTATGGAAACATTTTAATCCACATATTGTCAAAAAGATTACAGGAGCATTTAGAAAAAATGGGGTTAGATTCTACACAGATAATTACTAAAGTGGGGCTTAAATAACTAAAATTAGTGATTAAAATTAGGAATGAAAAAAGAAATTTCTAATAATTATGAAAGCAAAGCAAGAAATTATATCAAAAACACTGTACTCAAAATTCATTACAAGCCTTTGTAAATAAACTTTAAAAAAAAAATCACACTGATTTTTTTCTGTCTTGCAATTCCATAGTTAAGACATTTTCTTTTTCTTTGCAGACCAGACCATGCATTAGACTAGGAATAGTTACTTCCCACGCTTTGTTCTTCTCATGCAATACACTTTATTGAAAGGCACAGGATCTCGTCCATGTACTTTGAAGATGTTAACAACTACTAACCTTAGATTTTGAAGTGGCAAGAAAACTTCCCTAACAAAGACCTAAATATATTTCAGTCTTCAAAAGAACACTGCATTCCTTTGTCTGCAAATCTCTCACCCTAAACAGCAGAAATACCATTTTAGACACAAAAAAAAAAAAAAAGTAGTATTTCATGGCAAAACAGATTCCATAAATCAATGGAAAAATGCAGGATGATCTACAGTGACAGAGCAATCACTGGATCTTCATGTCGAATTTTTGATACCACTTCATGTACACCAAGACTACACCATAACGTTAATCACAGCCTGCTACGGGTGACAGGCACATTCACCTGAAAGGTGCTCTCCTGATGGAACGGTGAACACTCCTGCAGCTGCACCCAGGGCTTCCTCGCTGATAAGCATCTACCAGGAAAACTCTGGGGAGATAAGGCTAATCTCTCATGAAGGCCCCCAAAAAACATCTCCTCAAAGAAACTGCTTAATTAATAGCCATATTCTATTACCCTATTATGATCAATTTTTTTTTCAAAGTATATTAATTTTTGTCTCTGTCAAAACAGGAATTCTTGTCTAATCACTCCTTAATATTTGAGTGAACTGAAATTGTTTGCACTGACAAAATTGCTGCATCAAATCTCAACTGCTGTATCTCTTCTAAAGACACTTTTATTCAAAAAGATAAATTATACTTCAAACTGCCACTGTAGCTCTGCAATCTGTTAGTATATATGAGGACCAAAAAGCTTACTCCCAAAAGGAGATGGGCTCAAAATGGACAATTCAGACCTCAGCGGCAAATTTCCTAGACCCAGTAAGCACTTAAACTCCATTCGAAAAAGAGAGGTGATCTTTAGATTTTGAATCAGCTCGGCAAGATTTGAAGATGTTCAGACAAAAGTTGCTTCAGAGAATTCACAACTATTCTTTCCCATTAATTTTTCACAGTATTTCAGTATCATGAAAACTGCAACCAGCCCTGAACAGAAAGCATACAGGGTACACACATTTATTTAACATTGCCTCTTTTTGTCTCACTGAAGCTGTAAATGTCCAGGAGTCTGCTCCCTGCCATTCTTTGGCACTGAACTGGTCACACATGTACCACAAAATGCAACTACACTCATTCAAACAAGTTTTGCCTTTTCTTTCCCTGCTACTTTAAAATACTACATTCAGAGTAAAGAGAAATGAATTATGTGCACAGAATAAACAAAATCAAACATACCAATATACTCACATTCAAACATTCATATCTAGTGTAAAAGAAAGCTCCTGCTGGGAATGCTATTTTATTTTTTTTTATTTGAACAAATTCACCACCTCAATAATACCTCCACAGTTATCAAAGGGATGTGCAAACAAGTCCAGAAATACTGAACTTGCATTGCACTCAAAACTACATTGAATGTTGTACTCATCTATCATTTATGGCGACACGCAGAGAGCAGCAGTGAATGCCATGCTGACAATTTGCTTAGGACGACGTAGTGGAACTGGAGAGGCAAACCAAGGTACATTACCCTTACAATAATGCATGCAGACAGAGTGTTATCCTTTATGCAAGTTAGCTATGATGATGCAGAGTTTAAAGTACCAGCTACCAAAAAGGTGGCTTGTTTGTATTTTCTTGTGGGTAACAGTTACTACAAGACAGCGTTGTACTCATGAAATTCATAGGATAGCATGGCATATGCCAAGGCAATAATTTTGTATTAGCCAGTACACCAAATGCCAGGAAGATCTACTGTGGAGATGATTAGAACTTGCTGTTTTCTTTGGGAATAACTTACCTATTAAATGTAGTAGTCATTTATTGATAATTTACAAATGGAAAATACTGCAGAGTTCTGCCTGCTGTTGGCAATCACTCACTGAGCAATCCCCAGAAACTGCTCCAGCCAACACAGAAGTCCCCCTACTCTCTTTGTTATTAGTCAAACTTAAGAGTCAAGTAAATCACATGCTGGGTTGAAAGCCTCCACACCAGACTCAAGACCACTTGCCAAAGGCCTTACAAATCTAACTTCACTGAAAACATTCAAAAGAAAGTAACAGAGGTGTGGATATAAAATTCATAGTGAAATAGGAGAATGAGGACATTTCTCTCCTGTGTTCAGAAAATGTCTGTGATAATTTACGCTCTTCCTTTCACATATTTATGTCACAAGCAGCTCCTGAAAAAGGTATTAGAATGAGGAGAAAGAAATCTTCTACTTCAAGAAAACATGATCCATGAAAAAGAAAAAAGATGAAAGATTTGTACCAGCAATAAAATAAAACCATTTTTTAACTCTGAAGGACAAAACAAAAATCTTAAAGAAATAGAAAAGAAAATCAAAAATAAAGAAAAAGGATGATGCAGAATTAGTAAGGACTAACAGCAAAGACGAGTTACAGGTCCCTGATAGTGTAAAAAATCACTAAACAGGTAGAAACTAATGTCAAGAACTATTTATTCATCCCTATAAAGGAACAACTTCAGGCAAGGACAATAATCACAAAGCAGGAAAATGTTCATTAATTAAATGGAAACAAATCAGAATTGTTCAAGGTGTAGCCTGCCAAGGATCTGTTTGGCAGGCAGAGATATGCAATATTCTTCTCTGTGCTCCAAATATTTTGTTCGACAAGAGGTTAAAGAAAGTTTATCAAGGCTCCTGGCTGCACAGGTAGCTATTTGGCAATCACATCAGTCACATTAAAAATGTAAATCTAGACTATCTATACATATTAATTCCTTAAAAAAATACAGTGGTGTACTGCAGGCAATTGTGAAAGCCTTGCCTTCCCCACGAGGGTGCATGCTGTCCCTGTAACTACTAGATT